CACCATTCTCTGACACAGAGCCAAAGTGTCACGGGCGGAATGCACACGCGCGCGCACACATCGGGCATGCACCCATCACTCGGCAGGCACATCCCCACCGCCCCGGGTTTCTCTCACCCATCTTTGGATGGGAAAGAAGGATCTAACGCCCTCTTTTCCTTCCTCCCTCCTTCCCTCACGTAGTATTTTTTTTTTTGAAGAGCGAGTACTATTCCAGAAGCTATAACCGTTTTCTGGCTGGACCGTGCGGTAAAAGTCTTTGCTATTGTGTTACCTGGGAGGGTACGTCCAGGATCGACAGTCCACTTCCTTTGAGGGGACGAATAAGCGTGTTCACAGAGACACACGCGGGGACCCCCACCTCCGCACGGAGTGCGCGGCTCGCATACGCACACGCACGGAGTGTGCAGAGAGATCTGCATCCCTGCAGCAGAGGGTCGGGCGTATATAGTGCCTGTGAAACCACCCGGTCTGGCCCAGAAAACCCACCGGAGAAAAACAGTACAGAGCTGTCGCCCCCTCGCTAGTCCCCTTCCAACACTAGGCAGGGGCTGGAGTGTTAGAGAATGCTCCTTCCCCACTCCTGGGGCACTTAACGTCCCCTCCTTCGCCACACAGCGCACTAACAAGCCCCAGGCATTTAAAACTGCCGCAAAGCATCCGAACAAATCTTATTTTTCTTCACCCCAAATCCGAGCAGACTGCAGAGAGGAGTAAACCCACAGGGCAGCGGAGCCAGCGGCCGGGACTTCCACCCTCACCTGCTGTGGCTCCTCCGTCAGCGTCGCATCTCTCTCACACTCACACACAGCACCTCCTTACTCTCCTCTACCTCCACTCCCGGACTCTCCGTAGTAGCTGCGGACACTCCACTTACTTCATCAATAAGTGCAGCCCTGCACCATCCGGCACTGCGCTCCAGCTATGGACACGCACGCTCAGCCCCCATTCACTCGGCTTCATTGATCTCCAGCAGCAACATAGTTACTTTCTCTTTTGCTACACTGTAAATGTAAGGCTCCGAGGGGGCGGGCCGGCCCTCGACAGACGGCGCGTTGGGCCAATGGGAACCCGGAGAACGCCGACCGCTACCGCAAGGAGGCCCGCGGCCAATGGGCGGACGGGAGGGAGGAGCCGAGGGCGTGGCCTTGTCCCTTTAAGGCGGGTTTACCCGACGCCGCTCCGGGTGCTGTGGGTTATAACACGGGCGGTGATGTCATTGGCAACCAATCAAAAACTTAACGGAGCCAGCCGGGCCTCGCGGAGCAGCTGCTCTCTATTTACATGCAAACCCAGCCGGCCCGACGCCGTTAACCCTTTCCGGGGCTGAATTGTCAATGGGCTGCGCTCGCCGGGATCCTCCGGCACGCCCTCCCCCGGGGACCGACCGCGCTGTCTGTTTTCCCCCTTACTCTGGACGGAAGATCAAAAGTGTCGGGGTAACTTTCTAAAGGCAAGAGACAACCATCATCACCGTCCAGTCGCTCGAGGTGACTGGACAAACCCTAACCCAAGGTTCGCGGACGTCGCCAAGCCTCCGGCGCTGGGACGGACGTGAGCGCGCGGCGAGGGGTCGCCTCTCCGACCCG